TATTTATCTGAGGAGCAGACTGCTTTGACTTTAACTCCATCACAGAACTCTCATCTTGAGCAAACATGAAGGCGACAGTGGAAAGGAAAACCTCCCTCATGAGGAAGAAACCTTTAGCAGAACCAGGCTCAGGACAAGCGTCCATCTGCTTCGACCCGCTGGGTTTGGTAGGAACAGATACACAATGGCAGGTCCAGAACGACATGTTAAGATAGAAATAGTATCAAATGAAAATAATTCAATTGTAACAATTCATTTAAGGAAATGAGGTCAATTTGTCTTCCAGTAGTCTAATAGCAGCATAACAAGCCAATCCTAACTATAGGATTGATCAAAAAGGAAAGTCTTAAGCCCAGTCTTAAAACTGGACAATGTTTCAGTCCTTACAGACAGAAACTGGAAGTGGGTTCCACAAGAGAGGAGCCTGATAACTGGAAGATATTCCTTCCATTCTATTAGAAACTCTAGGAACCACAAGTAAGCCTGCAGTCTGAGAGCGAAGTGCTCAGTGGTAGTGTAACTTGTTTCACTAATTTGTGGAAAACAATTAAAATAAACCCCCCACTTAGAAAAATAAAAGCATTAAGTTGCATCTTAATGCCTCAAGAATATCTAACATAAAAATAGACCATTTTCTTCTGCTTGGGAGTGGCTACGATTAGGAATGAGATCATCAAAGGTACAAGTTGAACTGGGATAGTTAAGAAGACAGACTGAGATGGTTTGGACATGTCGACGTTAGAAATAGTAGATATAAGGATGAAGTGGACATGGTGAGGACAGAAGACGCAGAGGACTGAGACGGAGGATGACTTGCTGAGGGAACAGCTGAAAGAAGAGGTCAAATAAAAACACACGTTTATAAATGTACAACCGGTTTATTTACATGTTTAAAGCTAAGAATACAACAGCACTGTTTCTGTTAAATATCAAATAATATTGATGAGAACAGGTAACTGACAGAAACATGTTGGTAACAGTACATGACTACAGCAGAGTGCATTGTGGTCTACATCAGCCGGGGATTTTATTCTAATATATCATTTACCATGTTTCCGATGCAGTGCATATTGATAAATAAATTGGTTTTGAGCACATAAATTAAGTTTTTAAAGACACTACATTCAATCAGTTCTTTATTAAAAAGGTAAATATAAATAGCAGAGCAGGTTTATAAAACAACTAGTGTTACATTCACTCTGGTTTTGCTCATTCTGTGAGGACAGTCAGACTGGGTCAGTTGTTTCCTTTTCCTTCTGTGTTGGTGGTCCTGCTGGGTGATGCTGGTGAAGAGAGCTGTGGCGTTTCTGTTCGGTCACTACTTACTTCAGCCTCCTCCTCCCTCTGCTGTACAGAAGACAGGTACTCCTCCAACAGGCTGCAGTCCGCGCTCTCGCTCCCTATGCCGCTCTGAACGGGGCTCAGCGCTCGCACCGTCTTCAGAGAGTCAGTTGTGCCACTGCTCAGGAAGCTATCCTCCTGCGCTGCCTGCTGATCGCTGGTCACCTCGAAGCCAGAATCTGGGAAGGAGACGCCGGTGTTTGGCGGGTTTGTGGCGCCAACAGGCGAGGCTGCCTTACAAAGAGATGGAGATGAGGTCTGAGGCGCGCTGATGGACTGAGCAACGGCTGCCAACTTCTGCTCCACAGACTGCTTCCACTGCTGCATGGACTGAACCTGGATGAAGAACACAGAAATCAAACAACAAATAACCATTCAACGTGCAGTGCTATGCAACAGGTTAAGGCAAAGAAAGTAGTTAATAAAATTACCAGATATCTAAAATATTTTACATGTTCTGACTCTGGAAGCTGCTTACAGACGTTGAATTCTGCTGATTGTGTGAACAAGGTTTGGATTATCAGAGTGTTTTTGAGGCTTTGACATTTGCACCCCTCTATTTTTTTTTTATTATAACTGTGAACAAACAATAATTCTTTAAATTCAAAAGGCATCTGGAAATTATGTGTTGCTGTGCTCCTTTTTCTTTCTGCACTCTACACCTAAAACCACTTACTGCTGCTTTAATTTTTTTCCATTTGATTACTTTTGTTTTAATTTATCTTCTACTTACTTTACTAATTACCATATTTTCCACGGTAAATGTCGCACTGCCCTATAAGTCGCATCAGTCTAAATATGTCTAATAAAGTGGAAAAATCCATAAGTACTCGATTACGCGTCACCGCTGACAACCTGGAAACGTGGGCCGGTGTTGTGCCAAAAATCGATTGGCTGCCAAATGGCTTCCGTGAGAGTGTGCACGGGAGGATTTTTTTTTTTTTTTTGCCACGTTTCCTTTTGGTTGCTATTTTGTTTTGATTAAAAAAAAGAACTTTAAATTTTGTATGCCTCTTTTGTGACCGTCTATTGTTTTTGTTGTTACTCACTCTTTGTTAAACAATCAGGTCTGTCTTGTCAATGAGTCCCCGAGGCTCAACAGGATTAACCTGTCTAAATAAAGGTTGAATGAATGAAAACCTTTAACAAGAATTTAACGAGATTAACACTTAAAAACAATTATTTGTTTGCTCAAAATTAGTCTAACTTTTGCTTAATAAATGCACTGACAGTCAAATCGCTTGTATTTCAAAACCCGATATGCGGAAGTAGGCGCGTGCACGGGAGGACTCCATGTGCATTTCTTGGAAATGTAACAAGATAACCACCTACAAACAATTATTTGTTTGCTCGACTTGATAGTAAAGATGTCTCAGTTGAACTTTTACTTAATTAACGCACTTCAATGGTCAAATTAGCTGCATGTCGCCGAGCGGCACAACATGAAGCTGATTTCACGGTTGCTCCAAGCGAGCTGGACGAAGGTTGACAGCTACGGCAAGCCATTTGTGTCATTAATAGCCACTTTTACCTACTACATGACGCAACGGCATGCCATACTTCTCGAGTGCCATCTAGCAGCTGAAAATGGTAGTGTTCAATATTTTCAGAATGAATGAAAACGGTCACATCTCAGTCAAAAATTGGTTTATAAATATGGGGAAAAAATCCATAAATATGTCTCTTGGGCGTATAAGTCACTGGGCATGCGAATTACGCAAAAAAACGTGACTTATAGGGTGAAAAATACGGTACTGAAAAGAGAAGTGTGGTGAAACTGAACATGTTCTTTAAAAACTGCTAACCTCTTTCCATAGAAACTTCACAGCCTCCTCCTGTACCAGCCTCTGCAGCCTCTCCTCCTCAAACTGCTTCTGCACGCTGCAAACACACCAGATTTAACTTTGCAAGCTATTCAAGGCACACGTTACTGTACAACCATAAGAAATAGATACAAAAAAGACTGTTGATAAAGTCACGTACGTGTCCAGTTTGTCAGACAGAAACAGGATGTGTTCTTGCATCCTGCGCAGACGGATTTCACCGCGCACCTCTCTGGCTGCAGGATGAAAACTTCGAGTGCAGTGTCCCCTCCAGCACGACTGGATTTTAACAGCTGCCTTGTCGGCTTCCATTAAACCCAACTTGCTGACACACAGGCACGCTGGTTCCTGCTTAGAAGCTTCTTTCACTTTTGCTTTACCCAAGTCAGAGGATATTTTAGACTCATTCTGTGGCGTGACCTCTGATAAACCTCCAGTTTCTGTGGCAGCGACAGAAACAACCTCCTCTTGAAGAGTCTCCCTCTCTTGTTTATCTGTTGGATCGTTCGTCTTTGTTCTGCTGTGCCTTTTGGGCTTCGACGGACGCGTTGGAGCCAGAGAATCTGGTTCAAACGTCTCCGTTTCGTCTTCGCTGCCGGAGTGGAGCGCTTGTGGCGCAAAATCAGACGTGAACGGGAGAAAGGTGGACTCGGAGGAAAGCAAACTGCTGTTGAGTTTGTCCTCGTCCGTCTGCACATCCTCCAAGTAAACGTGCTCGCCTGCAAGCTTCGGGCTGCGACGCGCCGGCAGCGGCGGACGAGAGGAATCACAGCTCACCCAGGTGTTAAACTGCACGACCGGCTCTGACAAAAAAGGCAGAATCCACAATTAAAATAACAAAAAGAATGTTTTAAATATATATATATATATAAAACCAGTACAAACCAAACACGAGAGCAACTGGACGTGGCGCAGCGTGACAAAGCGCTCTTACCCTTCTCCTGGACAGATGGAGCAGCAGCTGGTAAAGGTGTGGGCTTTGTTTTCACCTCCTCAGCTCCATTCTGTGAGGGACTGTTCCTTTCAACATCCAGCTGAGTTGGACGAGTGGGACCGGGACAGCCTCCTCGTGTCTCCTCTAACAGCTGCCGTTGATGAAACCTGACACACCAACAGGAGAGCAACCAAGCAGAGGAATTAGGAGCACCACATTGAATGCTGCTGTTTTGATTTCATGTTTGTGCAGATGAAGTGTCACTTTAATGTTTATACCTCTGTTTACTGAGAATCTTCTCTAGTTTGGCGTCTTCTGCCGTCTCCATGGCTGGTGATGCGGTCAGAGGACAAACGGTGGCCAAGTACTGAACAAGCTGAACATGCTGCCCAGGTCGATACGAGCGACCTTTACCCTGACTGTAGAGCCACTCTGCTTTAAGACTGTGGTCACAACAGTTACACACAAAACACCAATGAGATCCAAACACACTGTTGCTGCTTCACTAGCAAACTGTAGCTTCACAGTAACGAGCTCACCCCTCTTTTTGTGTCACCACATAGCCATCGAGGACCTTCAGGCTCAGGCACCAACTCATGATGTACGGTCGATAATCAAAACCCGGCAGAGAGGGCGTCGCCATGACACAAGGGTTGCACATGACGGACAGCTGCTCCAGTTCATAAAGAGGCGCCAGATACGACATCTAAAGGGTCAAATTTGAGTTAGTCAATAAGAAATGCCTTGTGTTATTTTAACAGGTATTATCATGACGGTGTAGATAAAGGAAATGATAATTACTTCATTAAGATCCCTTATTTCATTTTCTGCCAGGGAGAGGATGGATAAATGAGCAGGAAGGTGAGCAGGAACAGTACGGAGTGTTGTAATGCTGTTTCCATGGAGTAGAAGTGTCTACAATGTGGACAAAGAAGGATGATCAAAAACACATAAAAAGGAAACTAACATTAGAATTATTAAAAGTTGTTTTTAAGCGCACGCTAACCTTTAGTGCCACCAGTTTGGTCAGATCACCAATGGTAGATATGTTGTTGTCAGACAGATCCAAGTGCTGGAGCGACACACAGCTGTTGAGCTGCTCCATGACCTGCCACAGAGCAGCGAGTCTGTTACACATGTCGTCATCATCCACGGAATAAATGACAAAGTAAAGGATGCATGAATCTCTCCTTACTTTAATGTTGTTCCCAGACAGATTCAGCCAATTCAGATGAGGTAGATCTCGTAGTCCTTCGATGTAGCCAATACTGTTATTGGGAAGATTGAGCACTCTCAGCGCCGTCAGCTGAGACACCCCCATCATTCTCACCAGACGGTTATTGGCTATGGAAAGCTGATAAGAGCAAAGACGGGTTTTAAAAGAGAATGCTAAATGTTTAGGCAACAAATCTCTAGTAACACTTGTGAGGCCAAGCAAAGGCAACCTGCTGAAGGCTGCGGCACCGTTCCAGGTGGTCCAGCTTCATGATGTTGTTACGGTCCAAGATGAGAGTATGGGTGTCCTCAGAGCATGTGAAATTGGGGTCCAGTTTCTGCATGCCCCTTGCTGAAAGATCCACCAAAGGTCCTGGCGAATAAAGAATGGGGCAGGTTAATAATGTTTATAAATACATTAAAAGAAAAGACAAATTTCAAAATATAGTACCAAAACAGTGGCGTTTGATAAGAACAACACGACCACTTATCATCTCCACTAATAATGATCACTCATGCTAAGGACCATCAAGGACAAGATGTAAACAAAAATGCAGGTTTTCTATAAATTTGCTTGGACATTAAGAAGAATATAAAGACATAAAAAAACTAAGATTTTATTGTGTTCAACAACACTGCAGAACTGTCACGAAATGTTTTGATCTGTTCATGTAAAAACAAGCTAACGGTGGTGCTCTGAACTGAAGCAGCTAACACGGAGATTCCCATAAATAAGACGAATATTTGGTGTTTATCTGAACAAATTAAAGTTTGTTCCACTTACCATCATTTATATCGCACTGCAAGTCTGATACACCCATCTTGTCCTCCCAGTAAACGCCTAGCGTCAGCTAGCAACCGAGGGAAAGGGAAACACAGGAGGGAAAGACGAAAGCGTTAGGTTGTCAAATGCGAAGCGAAACGTCTTCTGGGAAATGTAGTTCAATGCATTGCGCGCTTCCTCCTCTTTATAAGGCGTTTTGGTCTATAAAGAACTACAATTTTCAACGTCGCGCTAGTGTGTCCCGCCAACCAAGTTTCAGTGAAATAATAAAGAGAAAACTTTCACTGAAACGTCAAACACAGACGTGGACGTAATCTAAAAAAAGTAAATGAAAATTTTGTATTTCACATATATGACATATTTGTTTTGCTTGATGTGTATTTGCTGTGCGTGTTCCTCCGCAGATAGATTGAAACGTCATTTGTGTTGTGTTTTATAAAATATGTTTGGAATAAGCACATCCCCTAAAAAATGTAATAATCACCAAAACATGTATTTTTCGTGTATCTTTAAAAGTCTCTAATTCCGTTTCCGCTTCCGTCATCTTCCTTTCCGGTTTGAGCCCTCTCGTAGCCATCATGAAGTGAGTGTAAAGAACAAAATCAAAAGCCATCTCACCCTCTAGATTTATGTTCTGACAATGTTACCTACACGAAGAGGAACATTATTCTGTGTTTTTCCAGTTATGTATTATATTTTGTTGTTTTCAGGGTCGAGTTGTGCAGTTTCAGTGGGTATAAAATATACCCCGGCCATGGCCGCCGATACGCTAGGATAGACGGCAAGGTAACTGTTCCACATTTTGCCATGACCTTTACTTCCTGTATGTGGCTACAGTATGAAGTTTATATTCACATTGAAGTTAAATAAACTAACTTTTAGAGCAGTCGTTATTAATATGTTCTGTTTGCAAGTTGAAAGTTGTAGCTAATGCTAACATTAGCTACCGGCGTCAGTGCGGAGCAGCGCTAACACGTCACATTTTAGTTTAGACATGTTTTACAAGCAGACTCATAATCCAGATAATGTCAGTAATTTAACCAAATGTATTTTTTATACATCCCGTGGAAGAAAACGAGTCATCAATGTATGTTCCTGTGTGAAAGTATTTACATCTCATTACAGTAGCATTTATTGTTAATGCATACTTTTTGAGTACATGTACACACACGCATGCATTTGAGTGTTTCCAGAATTTAAAACCTAACATTTTGGGCCCCACTTAAATATTACGTGTAACATATGTTTTTTAAATCTTTTGTTTATAATAGGTGTTTCAGTTTTTGAACGCCAAGTGTGAGTCTGCCTTCCTGTCCAAGAGAAACCCCCGACAGATCAACTGGACCGTGCTGTACAGACGCAAGCACAAGAAGGGCCAGTCTGTAAGTGTCATCCATACAAACGATCGAGGCTTCTCCAACCTGTTCAGACAATTACACACATGCTGAGGTGATCGTACACCTTTGGCTGCGAGTGAACGGTGTGCACGGTGTAGTCTGTGTTATGTGTTGTTGCTGGACTGTGTTTTGCAGGCCGGGTAGCAGCACTCACTCCATACCTGCAGCCATAGAACAACTGGGGATCATAGTACTGGCTTTTGACATCTTCCCATCAGCCAGCCTCCAAACTCTCCCAACATACCCATTTTGTATCATTGTAGTTCAGTAGTAACACTTAAAGATGGTTGACCTTAGTATAAAATGGAAACTAGTTTATATACCTTGTCAGATTGTGTGACGGTAATCTTCTGAGACAAAATAATAGTTTGTTTTTATATTAAAATATCAAAAAGCTTGAAGGTGGCTGACAACATGCTGCTGAGAAATGCTGCTCTAGTCTCCTATTTTTATTTATCTTGAAAAGATGCTGACACCTGTTCGGAAGTCTTTAAAAGCTCGATTTTCCATGTTCAAAGTTTTATCACACAACTGTGTAATGTGACTGCAAACGTTTTAATGAGCTCATTGTATTAGTTTGATTGTACCCATAGAGAACCACAGTGCATTTTTTTTATGCTCAACAGTTCTTTATGCATCTTACTGTCAAAAGTCATTGTTTTGCTTATTAACACATGCAAAGATGCTGTCACTTTGTGTCTGCAAACAAATCAATATATTGTTGTGCTTTCTAAAACACGCCTGAAGTTGATGCTTGTCTGATACCAGTTTTTCTGAAGTTGAGGGATTTAACTACACCTATGAAGTTTTTCCAAGTTGGGTTAGTGACGTTCGTGCTGAAATATCACAGATTTTATGGTAAAAATAAATGCATTTTGTGTGTTAACAGGAAGAGGTGTCAAAGAAGCGTACCCGCCGCGCAGTGAAATTCCAGAGGGCCATCACTGGAGCCTCCCTGGCTGAGATCCTGGCCAAGAGGAATCAGAAACCTGAGGTCCGCAAGGCCCAGAGGGAGCAGGCCATCAGGTATGAGAAATTAAAATCACCTGCCTGTTTCTTACTTAAATGCCACATTTGACCACACTAATCTGTTAACATGGATTAAAGTTCTCATCGCTGCGACAGATTCCCATAATTTTGAACGTGGCCAGGATGGTTTCCCATCATCTGTAAAAATGAGGAGGGAGAAAACCGTGTTTTGTTGGAGTCTGAGCTAAGCTGCTAATCTCCGCTCCCCATCCACAAGTAGTGGAGCTGCTTGTGGGGTGGGGGATTTGGGAGGCGGGGCGCTCAGTTCTGTTAAAGGGAGGGGTTCCCTCCTTGGATAATGGTTGGGGAAACACTGCTTTGAATGAAATAATCATTTTAGGAGAGTCTGTCAGTCTAGAAAATTATATTTACTTAATGTACTTTTACTAAAGTCATGTACACACTAAACTGTGTCCTTTAACTAAGGTCATGTACACGGTATCCTCAGTAACCTCTAGGTGTAGAAACAAATTCAGCCTAAAGATTTGATGCTTTAATCCTTGGTTAACAGTTTAGATCTTTTTATTGGTTTGTCTTGTAAGAAATATTTTTGCTTTGTGTAAATACTCTTTCACAATAAATTAAAGTGATGTTTTCACTGAATGAGCATGGAAGTGCTTTTTAAAATGTATGGTATGGTATGGTATATAGTTTATTCATTTTAAAAAAGTACAAAACAATTCCATAACAATATAAAAAAAGGATACAAAAGATTTAAAATGAAAGGCAGCAGAAAGAAGAAAAAATCTTATTATATCTGCCCCTTTTTTCAAACAATTATTTCAGACATAATAATCTTCAAGTAACAGAACAAAATGAATAACTCTTTCTAATTTTTCTAATTCTAATACAAAACACACACTAAGCTACTTCATATATATTTTTTTAACAATTCAGTTTTGATCTTTTTCTTAAATGTACACATTGACTTTGCATTTTTCACATCACTCTCTAGACCATTCCACAATCCAACTCCTTGGATTGAGGTAGACCTTCCCTTCAGACTAGTTCTGAATTTTGGTTTGACAAATATTTCTATCCCCTTAAGATTGTAACAAGATTGTAAAATGTGAAACCATAGCGACAATGTAACTCGACTGGACCCAATATAATTTACATATTATGCTGGTCTAGATTCAGCATATTGTGACGCTTCGGCTACTAAGCCGCGGCTATCCACGTTTCATTATCACAATCTGCCCAGCTCCTGGCATCATGTGCAGCTCTTGTTGTAGTACAAGCATCAACCACCAGATGGCGTTTCACAGACTATGGCTTGGTGATCATAAGTCTTCATGAAGCTTCGCAGTCCGACTCATGGTTAAAACCATTCAACCTACAGAACGAACACAAGAACCATCTAAGCATAATCACTGGACACAACAGTGCCAAACACATGCGTAACTGAAATAGAAAATGATATCGGTTAATTTTACCCACAATTCTTATCAAGGTCATGTGACCAGGAGTCGCACAGTACTGGTAAATACGGTAAATATTCATTAAATTAGTACCATTGTTTTTTATTGTTAAACACTTTTGGTAACAGCTGCTGTTTTTAAATGTACTTTTTAAATAAAATCGACGTGTTTTCTGCTCAGTGGAGCTCATAAGATGAGGAAGAGGAGGGGGAACAGTTCGTTGTGTCCGCTCTGTGCTGGGATGTGAGCTTAAATGAGATACTGGTATTTAAACACATTTACCATACACAGAAAGATGTAACACAGAAATAATTTAAAAACTTTTATTTATATGTCAGTTTCTTGTCATTCGCACCACGTGGTACATGTGGTGGAACGAAATTGTGTACACAGGGTCCCAGTTACATGTACCAGACTTGACTGCATTAAAATAAAATTTTGATGACTTCTGCTCAGCGGAGCCACGTGACCCGGAGGAGAGGAAAAGCCGGCAAATGTTTTTTTCTGAAAAATGCCTTTAACACAGCTAAAATATATATAAAGTACCAATAGTCAACCAAAAGTCAATCGTTGCCATGTTCTTCGTCTACCTGTGGACTAAAGTCCTTTTCGAGGCTCAGGAAAAGGTCATTACACACCGCCTCGTCTCGCTCAGCAGCTGTTTCTGTTTCCTCCTTCAACAGCCACATCGATCGCTTTTAACTTAAAAGCTGCGTCATAAGAAATTCTCTGTGCGTTTTCTGTTATCGCTGCACGGTCTGTGCCTGAGGCGCAAAATACAGTAACTGATTTGAAGAAGTTAATGCACGTCTATCTTTGGGGGTGGGTCCTCGAGAGCATCTCATTGGTCATTATGATTAGACTTCTGGTCACATGGTAACAGAGTGGGTGGAGTTATGGATAGGAAAGTTGAAACCCTGAGCGAGAGGTTTGGTACAAAAGCCTGCCCCCAAGAGGGTTGGGTGCTGGGCAGCCACATGAGCGCCCTGCTCTGTCAAAGGAAAATGTTATGAGACTGCAGGAAGCCTGTTAAATATAAACATATAAATAAAATAAAAATACATAAATTGGCCGCTCCTGCATATAAACCGCAAAGTGTGAGGAAAAAAAAGTAGCGGCTTGTACACCGGCAATTACGGTACTTTCAAATTGAAACAAGTCTGCATTGTTTTGGTCACAGTTCTAGAGGTGGATCTGAAATTTGAAAGTACAACCTCTAATTTGTTTTCTCATCTCTCAACAATGACTAGCATCCTTAGCTTAAGTTAGCTACTTCTCAAGTAATAACACCTAATAATCCTAGTTTTCCTATTAATAAATACACCTATGTTTAAATAGCCTTGAATAAGTAAATAAAGATCATGTAAAAGTAGGAAATGCCATTGCTGATGGTCATTGAGGTAAAATATATTTCTTTACAGTTTTAGCCATAAAAGTGTTGAAATGTTAAATGTTATTTATACAGGTGATGTAATTGTAGTAGCAAACATAACCAAGTGTTGAATTTAGGAAAATACATTTCTGATGTGGGGTTGAGCTGCCATATGTACACTCAGCTAATCAGATGTTGATGGATCTGATTTGATAATGTAGTTTTATTTCAGGATACCATTTTATTTTCCATCTGGTGACCAGTAGTCTAAACCTCTGCTCCCATAAGAATGATGGTGCAAGTATTTTATTTAAAAATGCAACAGCAAAGTGTGTCCTGTATTTTGCTTTGATTTTTACCAAGTTTTGACTGGAAGTTAAGAAATCTTTGCTATACTTTTGCTATAATTTAGTTGTTTTTTTTTATAGAGCTGCAAAGGAGGCCAAGAAGGCAAAGCAGGCAGCTAAGAAGCCTGCAGCCCCGAGTGCAAAGGTGAGATCTGCCTGTTTAAAATCTAAAATCAACAATATTCAGTAGATCTGTTGTGATCATTGATGCTGTTTAAGCTTTCAGACAAGATGCAATCAGTTTTTTTAAGAGCAGTAATTTGATGTCTGCCTGCTGAGCTGTGATTTTCTGTGTTTGCGTTTCTCCTCGCAGGCATCTTCCAAGACTGCACAGAAACCCAAGATCGCCAAGCCCATGAAGGTCAACGCGCCCCGCGTCGGTGGCAAACGCTAAACCCGACTCCTTGTTTATGCTTGTGAATAAAATTGTGGTTAACCCTCGGTGGTGTGATTTATTAAAAACTGAGACGTCACTTCAAGATGAAAACTTGAGAGGATGAACACCAGCTCGTGTAGCCGGATGCAAATTACCTGTTCAAACACCTACAATAAGGAATAAATTGGTGCTAATGATCAAACGGACATTTTTTTTTTAAACATTTGCGTATTTAGAACAAGTACCAGATGTAAAAATTTGTCAAGACGTAGTTAAATAAAAATGTTCTCAAAACATCAGAAGTAAATACTTGTATTTAATATTAGTAAAACTTTATTTTTCCATTGAAACCAGTTTCATATTTGAACTTTGGTTGTTTGGTGAGGGCAGCCAATTTATGACTAGACAGACACAGGTTTGATTCCCTGTAATGTTCACATGTTGTGTCCTTGAGCAAGACTAATTCCCCAGCTGCTTCTCGAGCACGTGGCTGCCCACTACACTTCATGCTTCTGGTCAAATTGGTTAAATGAGCCCAGTTTTATCTGGGAATGATTCAAAGCTCCATGTTGATAAACTGAAAATATTACTCAGGTCTCATATCCAAGTAAAATGTTTAATAGTATTTTTAACGCTGGGACTTCTACAACTAAACATGTCGGTGTAAAAATAACCAGTTAAAGCTCTGAGGTGTCCTGTTAGACAATTTATTCATAGCCACTAACGTTACATTTCAGTAAATTCTTTGTTCGGTCAGCAGAATAACAGCAATTATTGCTAAATGATGGGTTACTACATAAATACCATCTGAATTAGTAAAAAATAATTTGACACAAAAATGTAAAAACATTTTTTAAACAAGGCCTTTTCATGACGGCTGTCCGTGCTGCCGTTTGCTCGACTCGCTGCATTGATCGGTTAAAAAGCTGCACGTTAAATATAACAGCATCCAACACAACGTGGACAAAATGATTATCAGGATCTGTTCTCAGATTAAATGACAAAACTATTAAAATGGAAGGAATTGTTGCACAGTAAAGGATTTTAATGACTGCTGAGGTACAGACGTCTGGACTCGAAATATGTTGCAGAAAAAAAATTAAAGCGATTAAATGATTCCTAAATTTCTTACGCCAACATTCCTTAAACCACATTCAAGACAAACTCGTGTTGATGTGTTTCTAGGAGCCTTGAGCTACTGATTGCTACAACTGTAGGTTGATTAAAAGAATAACTTCCCAGTTAGCGCAACTGGTATGAATCAACGGTACAATCAGAAAACTTGTGCGTTCGTGAACATTAGTCCTGTGAGTTAATTACAATTCTTTTAAAACTTTCTCTTTTTGTTTACACCCTGAGGTAATCTGACACTTTAGAAAGCACACACTTCCTACAGGGACTCTAGGTTTAATGTGGTGGAATATGGTTATGGTGTGAATGTTATGAAAATAACGTGGGATGATGATGATGATGATGATAGTAGTCTCCCTTTGAGCCAGCAGTAACGCAGCAGGAAGGTTGGATTATCAAGAGTCTTGAGACTGATCTGCTTCTTTATCCTGCGCCGCCTTATCCTGCTTGTACCTGTCAGGAAAAACATCAAAATTAACTTTATTCATGTTTGCCATTTGACCCAGAGAGACACTTTCTGCATTTCTTTATCTCGTAAGATTCTTTTTTTAATTATCGAGTTCTTGAAATTTCTGTTTTAATAGGATTTTGTTACAACTACGGTCAATTTTCAATTAAACCTAAAACCGTCCCCACCAAGAGCTCGAGGTTTGAGCAAAGGTCAAACCACGATGAAATCAAGTTTCCAAAATAAAACTCTTAAATTCAATAGATCAATCTAATTTCAAAGCATGATTTTAATGTTTGCCATACTAACACTACACAATAGAATAAAATAAACATAAAAAAAAATAGAAGGAAAACTGCTGGTTAAGATTTTCAGTCATTCAGGAGGAGAATGACATTTGGAGCAGATTCAGCCAGCTCTAAAATAAACAGATGCAGATGCTTCCTTATGAATGAACATTTTACATAAAATACACGTATATACATTATTATTTTTTCATTGACATGGCCGTTTGTTTTTTGTTTTCATCAAGAGAAAAATGACACGAGGTAGTTCTGACTCATTTGTCTCAAAGTACAGACGAGCACGAGAACCTTTCGTGCAGCTGTGCAAACTCTGTCAAAACAGATGACTTAGTTGTTTCTTCCAACTTTGTAAAGCACAATCTTAATAAACTCCACTTTATCTTGTTTTTTATACAGCAATATGACTGGACTTATTAAATGTAAATTGGTGATTTGTTCTTAACTTTTAGATTTAAATATTGGTACCACTTTACAATAATTATAAAATAGTTTATAGATATGTTACTAATTCCTCTATAAACACTTTATAAATAATTAATAATTGTTTATTATGCATTATTGCCTCACAGCAAGAAGGTCCTGGGTTCAATCCCTGGTTGGACCTGGGGTCTTTCAGTGTGGAGTTTGCATGTTGTTCTCGTGCTTGTGTGGGTTTTCTCCAGGTACTCTGGTTTCCTCCCACAGATCAAAAACATGCATGTTAGGCTGCCTTCAGGTCCAGGGCTGCCTTGCAAAACAGATCTGTGATCTCAATGGGATTTGCCTGGTTAAATAAAGGTTAATAAATAAATAATTAAAGGTGACAGAGACAAAACTAACCAGTTTCTTAGTGAGCAAAATGTGTTTACATACAGTACCATGCAAAAGTATTCGGCCCCCTTGAACTTTTCAACCTTTTGCCACATTTCAGGCTTCAAACATAAAGATTAACATAAACATAAAACAGAAACATAAACATTTTAATTTTTAGTTTAGAATCAACAAGTGGGACACAATTGTGAAGTGGAATGAAATTTATTGGATGTGTCAAACTTTTTTAACAAATAAAAAACTGAAAAGTGGGACGTGCAATATTATTGGGCCCCTTTACTTTCAGTGCAGCAAACTCACTCCAGAAGTTCAGTGAGGATCTATGAATGATCCAATGTTGTCCCAAATGACTGATGATGATAAATAGAATCCACCTGTGTGTAATCAAGTCTCCGTATAAATGCACCTGCTCTGTGATAGTCTCAGGGTTCTGTTCAAAGCGCAGAGAGCATAATGAAGACCAAGGAACACACCAGGCAGGTCCGAGATGCTGTTGTGGAGAAGTTTAAACCGGATTTGGATACAAAAAGATTTCCCAAGCTTTAAACATCCCAAGGAGCACTGTGCAAGCAATCATATTGAAATGGAAGGAGTATCAGACCACTGCAAATCTACCAAGACCCGGCCGTCCCTCTAAACTTTCATCTGGAACAAGGAGAAGACTGATCAGAGATGCAGCCAAGAGGCCCATGATCACTCTGGATGAACTGCAGAGATCTACAGCTGAGGTGGGAGAGTCTGTCCATAGGACAACAATCAGTCGTACACTGCACAAATCTGGCCTTTATGGAAGAGTGGCAAGAAAAAAGCCATTTCTCAAAGATATCCATAAAAAGTGTTGTTTAAAGTTTGTCACAAGCACCTGGGAGACACCAAACATGTGGAAGAAGGTGCTCTGGTCAGATGAAACCAAAATCAAACTGTTTGGCCACAATGCAAAACGATATGTTTGGTGTAAAAGCAACACAGCTCATTACCCTGAACACACCATCCCCACTGTCAAACATGGTGGTGGCAGCATCATGGTTTGGGCCTGCTTTTCGTCAGCAGGGACAGGGAAGATGGTCAGAATTGATGGGAAGATGGATGGGGCCAAATACAGGACCATTCTGGAAGAAAACCTGTTTGAGTCTGCAAGAGACCTGAGACTGGGACGGAGATTTATCTTCCAACAAGACAATGATCCAAAACATAAAGCCAAATCTACAATGGAATGGTTCACAAATAAACGTATCCAGGTGTTGGAATGGCCAAGTCAAAGTCCAGACCTGAATCCAATCGAGAATCTGTGGAAAGAGCTGAAGACTGCTGTTCACAAACACTCTCCATCCAACCTCACTGAGCTCGAGCTGTTTTGCAAAGAAGAATGGGCAAGAATTTCAGTGTCTCCATGTGTAAAACTGATGGAGACAAACCCCAAGAGACTTGCAGCTGGAACTGCAGCAAAAGGCGGCGCTACAAAGTATTAACACAAGGGGGACGAATAATATTGCACGCCCCACTTTTCAGTTTTTTTATTTGTTAAAACATTTTGACACATCCAATAAATTTCATTCCACTTCACGATTGTGTCCCACTTGTTGTTGATTCTTCACAAAAATTTAAAATTTTATATCTTTATGTTTGAAGCCTGAAATGTGGCAAAAGGTTGAAAAGTTCAAGGGGGGCGAATACTTTCACAAGGCACTGTATATATTTCATCTAGAGTTATTATATTAAACATTTACCTTGTAAACACAATAAGCATGTGTAAACCTAATTTTTTAGGATATAATATTAGATGTAGATACTTATAATGCAGTGATAAAGTACAATATTATATGCTAAAGAAATAGTTTTACAAATGTTTATTGTGCTGACAAGGTAAATGTTTAATATAACAACTCTAGATGAAATACATAGATGAACACATCTGGTTCACTATTTGGCAACAAACGGGTCATTTTTTTCTCTGTCAGCCTTAATTAATGCATAATAAGCAGTTATTAATGATTTATAAAGTGTTTATAGAGGAATTAATAACGTATCTATAAACTATTAGCCATCTATAAGGGGGGCCTTATTGTAAAGTGGTACCAAAATTTTAATACAAGATTAGCACAGTTCAAACTTTTATATTTATTTGATCTCAAGAGTTTCTGAATATTTTTTTTTTTTGTTTATTGCAGCATTTATTTTCCTAAAGTTTCATATTTCTTCACCTTGTTTTATACTGAAACTTAGCAGATATTTCTAAACTAACGATGATATTTTTGAAGCAAATGTTTGTGATGCAAGTTAATTCTAAATACACATTTGAAAGTTTGCTACTGTCGGTTTAAAACAAAATCACAACTGAGGAAATAATTTGTGTGACTTTTAATTATTGATAAAGCTTTTATAATTACTATATTTTTATTCATTTACTTTCAAGTTTTGGGATTTTTATCTCAAGTAAGTTTGGCTTTTTTTCCCCACTTTATTTCTATATATAATTTCTAGTTTTTGGAAAACCCAATTTAAACTTAAAAAACAAAACAATTTCTGTTTCATATCAGGAATGACTGATGAACATCTGACCACAGAAAGCTGCTGTGCTCTCATCCTGCAACATTTTATATCCACGGGTCATTAAAAGGTTTCTGCAGCACGTTTCTCTGAAGGAATCCAGTTCTGAGCGCTCACGTTTCCCACACACACAAACGCACCTCCAGATCCTGTAAAGCTGCGACGCTCCGGCGCTGCCGACAAAGAAGTTCACAGCAAAAAGGTTCCAGTTTTTGGGGATTATAACCAGAGAATATCTGGACCAGATGAGACCTGGAGGAGGACAACAGGAGGGGGTGACGCTTGTGCTCACGGTATCCATCGGAACAGAGTCGATGTTTTGACAGAAATCTAACAGATAAGACTTGTTTGAAGTAAAATATTGTGAAAGAAGATGCAACCGGCAACCTTTAGCACACTTTAGTCAAGTCCATCTCTGAACAGATAAAGCAAAACAGTTGAAACATTTGCTAACAAACTAAAATATAATATATAGAGGTTCAGTGATGCACTTGAATTTAAATCAGATGAATCCCACTCAAACCCAGTCTCACCAGTTGCTGTCAGCACTGCAGACTGAGAGGTACTGAGCTTATCTGCTGGTCGAGTCATATCAGCCAAACCCGCCATCACCAGACCCTGAAAGTTAGAAAAACGGTTTTGAATTCATCACGGACACAAGCAAACAATTCAGTTCACAACAGTTTCTAACTAGTTACAAGTTCAAGGAGTTTGAAGACGAAATGTTTTTATTCTTTGAGTTCCACATCATGAGCAGTCAGCAAGAAGACGACGACGTATGGAACTGATGAGGTTAAGATGAAACTAAGGCTTTCAAACGCCAACAAAGGTTAGAAACAACCTGCAGTGTGTGTGTGTGTGTGTGTGTGTGTGTGTGTGTGTGTGTGTGTGTGTGTGTGTGTGTGTGTGTGTGTGAGTACACAGGTTCTCGGGTTCAAATGTGTGAAAGTGCATTTACCCATTTGAACATCGGAGCCCAGAAAAAAACAGTTTTTGGACCTGAAAGGACACAGAGAAAGAAAACACATAAACTATGACACTTACAGAGATGATTTTTGTTTAAAGTTACAATTTTGTGATTTTGTATTAGTGTAAAAAAAAAAACACGATTAGAACTTGTTTTTTTTTTTTGTACAGTGATCACTAATTTAGATCACTTTACAGCAACAAGGCAGAAACTTCAGGGAACATAATCTACTGTGTACAGTTAATTTTCTGTAAACGTAATAGTCATGTAGGTTTAACTGGATTCTGAAATGATGCAAGTGACTCGTAGTTTAAGGACTAACATGTTTTATCACTAGGGGTGCACCAATAAATCGTCCCGATTGCCTTAATTTTGGGGGATCAACCGATACCGATTTACGGATTTTTTTTGTAGTTTTAACAACAATTGTCTAAACTTCATTTATATTTCAGAGCACGACCTCATGGGCAGTTAAAACAAGTTTGTATTGTTTTTAGGATATTGTTCAAGTGTATGTTTTTCAACTAATTAAAGAATTCAAGGTTCTTTATTTGTCATACGCACCTGTGGTGGAACAAAATTGTGTACACAGGGTCCCAGTTACATCCAATAAAATATAAAATGTAAAAAAAACTGTAATAAGATCTAAGATATGAACTAAGAAAAACAATAACTAAAAATACACTAAGTAGTGCAAAAAGAATACGCCAAACAGCAGCACGAACATGAGTCGGTGTGAGCAGATGAGTACGAATGAACACAGTAGCGTGAAACATGCTGCTGTGCTGAAATGAATGAAAGTAAGATCGAAGGTGCATTGTGACCTTATAACACCTGACGGTGTCGCTTATAAAGCAAAATCTGTATCGGACAAAATTGGAATCGGCAGCTCAGGCTTTTTAGAGATCGTCCAGAAACGTGCACCCCTATTTATGACTAGACTGTTCAGTTCTGGGTGTTCATCAAACATCAGTACTGTTCTCAAAACTACAGAACTGGTCAGTTCAAGTCCTCAGATCATGATAAACAAATACGTCACTCTTGTGAGAATCTTGATACCAAAACTAAACTTTATGACACTTTATTTTTTAGTTCCAACTTTAATCTAAACTTATATAAAAGGAATGCCATCATCAATCTGACCCAAGCAAAACTCTAGTAAACTAAAGTCTTGTTTGATTTCACACAGTGTTTCTCTTTAAAATGGTTTCATTTCAACTAGGATTTATAATATAAAGAAATACGACACCGAGAACCCACATAATCTGACTAAAAGACGTCTTTCCAGCCTACAGGAAGGACGCGCAGTTAAACACAATAAACTACAACACGGAGCAGAGAAGCTGCTGGCCTGGAATCAGCTTTTCTCAGAAATGTTACGGGCTAAACAGAATGTAAGAAGGTTGTCATTGCAAATTATCCTTGAGGGAGTTGCCTTTGTGTTGCTGCACTTTCATACCTGTTCAGAAAGCTTTCCTGGACTAAATGAGCCTAAGGGCATTTTCACGGTTAAAACTAAAGAACAGAGAGTCCGATTTACCTTAGAAATCTCCTTTCAGTCTAATTATTCGGTGTTAGTGCGGGATAACGTTAAAGAACAGGAGGTAAATATGAAACTTATAAAGAAAAGCTTGAGAAAATTGTTTTCTTTGTTTCAAGGGTATAATTTGTGTTGATTATACCTGAAGTTGAAGTTGCATGAAGTTCACAAGCAAAGGTCAGATCTTGATGAGTGAATGTGGGGATCAGTGAACTTTATACATGTATCTTACAATCTTTGACAAATTCAGATAAAAAAAAAAAAGTTTAACTCAGGCATTTAGTGATTGTTTTCTTTTTCATGAATATGTAATATATTTATAGTTTCAGACAAGCCAAAATATCAAACCTTTACCATGACGAACAAAAACATTTTTATAGCAGTGACCCCAGGCTCTAATTTCAACCAAAGATTTACACATAACAATAATGAAGATGCCTAGTTCTGGTACAAAATAATAACTTTGATCAGGTTTGTAAATGTCATTGTGTTTTTCTGATCTTAATGAACTTTTGACCGCTTTGTGTTTAGGGAAAACAGCTTTTTGTAAAATTGCAAACATGGTTCATTTTTGCTACAGAATAGCTTAAGTTGTGTTTCTATAGCACAACAAGCAAACAAACAAAAAAACTAACATAGATGTGTTTGTTAGGAAAGAATGAAATCTGAGTGAAGTTCAATCAAAGCCAGAACTCACTACTTTGAACTCAAAATAGGTTTTAGGATAAAAAAACTACAAAAATGTCCCATTTTTTCTAAATTATTTTCAGACTAAGCAGCTTAGGTTGACTTTAGGTAGATTTAGATCTGCAAAAGCAACATGAAAACAATGACTTTCATTAAGTTCAGGCATCCAGATTAGACAGCAGACTGTAGCAGACAGCTGTTTTCACAGCTGGATGCAGTCCACGTAGATTCCACCACATCTGGACTAAAACCCTTCATTTAAAGTGATCAAAGGGCTGTAATGTACTTTACCTGCCGGGTGGTTGTACAGAGGTCTCAGTTTGGCGGGCAGCATATACTCGATTCTGTTCAAAATCCTGTGGTAGGACGCCCTGAGCGCAGCCATGATCGCTAATTCAAACTAAGAAAGAGGGCAGTAAATAAGCTAGCTCGTCAAAAGGTGAAGTTCGAAGGTTTCTGTCTTTAAATGCTGCTAAATTTGATCAGTTGGTAAAGTGTAAATGGATAAAGACAGGGTTTACGGTTAGAAGAAAGATGCTACTGTCCTACTGTCGACCTTTCCCCGGCACAACTATGACCAGGCTAGCTGTCAGTAGCTTCCCTCTGACCGACACGACGAGGAGGTGACTTTCTTTCGACGCAACCTTCAGCGTGAGGGGATGGGTTAGCATTCCTCCATTCTCATTGGCTCAGACAGAAAGAGGCTCGATTTGATTGGTTCACGCGGGGAACGTTAACTTTTCGTCTAGTGAATACCGATAGAGTGAAACTGAATTAAAACATGGTAGATAAATATTGCTTTTTGTTAAATAGACAAATAAATATATTTTTATAAACAAATACACATGTTATAGCATAAAATAATTACAATATTTTATTTATTACACCAGCTTTACATATTATACATACGAATCCTATGTTACAGATCCATCAAAATTGGTCTGAATAAAAAAAATAATTGTTTTATGTCAATATAAATTTACAATTCCAAAGTATCGAGTCGTTTTCACTTTCTTATGATATTTATGAACCATAAAAGCAGGTTTTCTGTGATAAATTAAATAGTTTCTACTCACTCCGCCCCTTTTTCTTTCTCAGGCTTCTAAAACAAATGCACCAAACAATTTAGCCAAATCACGCACTTTCTCGCGTTGTTTTGGCACAGCTGACAGCTGTCCGCTGAAAGAAATAAACCAGGCTAGGCTAGTTAGACAGATAGATAGCAGCACGGAGAGTAGGGACGCAGTTGGACTGGACTCGGAGGGACAGCGGAGACCTGTCAGCAGCGTACATTTCCCTCCCAACAATGCTGAATACAAGCTAACACCGTCCCGGCAGAAAGGGACTGAACAGGACTGACAGCAGCGACAAATAAAAGACGACATCGCCAGGAGAAGGGTTAGCTCAGTTTAAATGTTATTGTCAATCAAAAACAAAGCCATTTGCTTACAATGTCCTGCACTGGAAACCTGGTTTGGGATGTTAATAAACGTCTAATCGGATACGGAGTGCCAAACACCATCAGGACCAACTATTTAGGTAAGAAAACAACAGAGCTTTATGCTAACACTGACATTTAATTTAACTTTGTCTGCAGAGACAGCATGCACGTGGAGCTGGATTACAAGAAGTGGGATTTATTATTATATTATACTTCTTTCTAATGGCATAGCTTCTCTTCCTGAGTCACCCCTGAAGTGTATGTAGTTTATCACGATTAAAGAGGAGCCGTGCTTTCTAAACCCTTAACTCTTGAGATTAGGGTATGTATAATCCGTAACACAGCAGCTCTGTCAGACCAGAGATCACACTCATTTCTTCATGCTGATATTTTATTGTATTGTTTTATATTATATTGTTTTTGACAGAAGTTGCAATTTCAGTACAGGACTGTCAGAGGTCAGTCATTTGCTGGGCAGCCTCACTATAAATGTGTAAATGAACTCTCTAATCCAGTTTTACAATGTTAGACTTCCTAATTCAATCATAGCAGAGATTAATCTTTTAATGTGCTTGTTGTGCATTATCTGGATGTTTCAGTTCTGCATAAACTTGTAAGCAAACCTTAACTGTCATGTGGTGCCATCACTCAAATGTAAATAGGAAAATGAAAACAAAACATGAAATATGTTAAAAAGCAGATAGTCTTTAAGCTGCATCTTACATCTAAATCTAAAACATTTAGGGTAAAATTCAAGCCTGTCGAGGCAACACTTTTAGCTTGATTTAATGAAGTGGGGTCAAAAAAGAAAAGATAAACAGGTCAGTACAACGGGGTTGAGATCATCCACCAAACGTATTGGCAACATTTTGGAAAGTTAAAGGAAAGTAGCTCAAACCATCCTGAGTTGTGTTTTGTTTAATCTGAGGAAAACCCTGTTTTCACTTCATATACCAGATATGTGTGAGCTATTACACAGAACTGCTTTGCTTTTTGCACAACTGTTTTGGAAAACTAACAGGAAGCAGAGGAGTCCAAATGCCAAACCCAATAAGGAGGCAACACTATGTTGTTTAAGTTGTGAACTTGAGTTTTATGATTTGTTGTCTGAATATTTTAAACATTTTTAGAAACCTCTTAAAACGGTGCAACATTTATTTCCTCACAGCTCCACAGTGTTAGCCTGACAAGCTACACTGGTGGTATTTGCATCTCTTCTGTGACATTCTAAACAATTTAAATACATTTTTTTCCCCATGCAAATTTTCAAATATCAGAATTATTAATCATTTTAAACAGAATCAGTCCTTCTATTTGTAAAAATGTGTGTCTTGCATCATTGATTTGTGTTTAAAAGTATCACAAAGTGCACACTATGTTGATGATATGACCTATAACTTCTAGATAAAGTCCACGTCGAACCGCTCTGCTCCATTCGGTGTCCTTACAGACAAAACTAAACTAGTTTTCAGTTTTATGCTACCCATAAGAATAAATGTAGAAATCATAAGTGTTCTTTTTTTTTATGTTTGCAGCTGAGCTTATCAAGTAGTTGCATTTATTTTAACGTCTAAAATAACCAATCCTTTGTTTTAGTATTAAAAACCTGATCCTGTTCATCTTTGTTTTTTTTTAGTCATGCATCTTACAGATTCTTGTGTATAGAAAATGACAGTCATTATTAGAATATGTAAAAACAGTCAGTATAATCTGGTGACACTGGGTTGAAGCATCCTCTTAGCTAATCAGTACATCTAGAAAGTTGTCAGATCCCTGTGTGTGTTGGTGCGTTGGCTGCAGTTGACAGGAGCAGCGTAAACGGTTGGACACAGCTGCTGCGAGACAGGAATTGATCACGCAGACAGGTTGTGTCATACAAAGGTTGAATGGAGAGATATGACCACTTCAATGTGGAGCTGGTGCCTCAGAGGTTTAGTCAGCGCTGTTTTTAGCCGGCCTGAGATAAAAGTCTGAGCTGTGTTTGTGTGCAGGGATGTGCGGGCTCTTATCAGATATATTTAGTGTTGGTAGAGCCGTTACAAGTAGCAAGTTGGGGTGAAACATAAGATGGAAAAGCAGACATGATGCGAGGTTGAAGGAAAACGCCAGGGAACAGTTGGTTTTGTGTGTGTGCTCCTTCTTCAGATTCAAGTCTGATGATCTGGTTAACTTAAAGTGAACTGATTCTATAGGTTTAATCAGTTTTTACTTTCTTTTTTAATCTTTAAAAATTTGAACTGGGGCGGCATGGTGGATCAGTAGAGCTGCTGCATTTCACCGAGAAGGTCGGCAGATCGAATCCCGGCCCGGGACCTTTGCGTGTGGAGTTTGCATGTTCTCTCCGTGCATGTGTGGGTTTTTTCCAGTTTCCTCCCACAGGCCAAAAACATGCATGTTAGGCTGATTGGTAACTCTAAATTGTCTCTAGGTGTGAGTGAGGGAGTGAATGGTTGTTTGTCTCTGCGTGTCCTTGTAATGGACTGGAGACCTGTCCATGGTGTCCCCGCCTCTCCACAGTAACTGTTGGATATGGACACCAGTGACCCCCACGACCCGAAAAGGAAGAAGCGATTAAAGACAATGGATGGAGTTTGAACTGCCAGTTGGACAAAGCACATGACGTGATGCAAGTTTGTGTATTTTTAGCTTTAAATGCACTCATGTTTTATTCTCAATAAAATAAAAAAAGTTGATCAATACAAACTAAAGTTAATAGCAAGATTAACGACCTGTCATTCCTTGAAAGTAAACAAAGATCCTTCACCATCTGTTAGTGCTCAGATTATATATTAGCTGCAGCCACACCCACTTTTAACTCGGCATATCATTAAAATTGGTTGAGATATAAATATTATTTAAGCGTAGTTTGCGGTGGCAGCCATTTTGTTTGGGTTGACGCCAAAGGCTAATCAGTTGGAGATGTTCAACTAATTATTAGTTACTGCAAACTTCATTAAAATTCATCTAATGGTCTGTGACAAAACTTTGGTAACAGACACACACTGGCAAAAACATCATTTCAGCATCAGGAGATTAAAAACGGACCCTGAATGCAACATTATAAACATTTCTGACACAAACAACTTTTCCAAATAAATTTAAAGTTCCAGTCTGTGCACCCAAATGTACAAGCTGTAGTGAAATTATTTACAAAGTTAACTAAAAGCTTTTAGAAAGTATTATACCTAAATATTTAATTTGACTGAAAAACGTCTAAGCAATAAATACGGTAATGTGCTTTAAAGAGAGGGTGATTGGTGTGATGGATGAAGAGGACCCTGTTTGGTGATTTACTCAAAACTTTGACTCACAAAGTAACACATTTAGGGGAGTGCACGTGTAGTTCTTCGTGTCTGAGTAGTGGAACTGATTTTTATCGTCTGCTCGCCGTCTCAATTAAACAATGAGCTCATTGACACGAAGAAACTGAAATCACCTGTAAACAGTCAGAATCTGATTGAGCTGATAATAATGTGGTACCTCTGGGTGATGAGTCCGTCTTGTGACTGAGGATAATCTGAGAGAACGACTTCATGCCTCAAACTCCTGCAGCTCGGATGAAAGTCTAATCTATCATTTGAATGAACAACTTGCAGAGACACGGCGTTCCCACAGTGCACGGCTGCTGCATGTTCACACTGAAAGATTTTACTCACCAAGAGTTGACTGCACACAAACTGGACTATGTTATAATAAATGTGGGTTGTTATTATTGGTATTAATTAATTAATTATTAATTATTGTTAAATAATAATAATAATATTAGAAGTGAAATTCAACTTTAATGCACCATTGCCAGTTAAATATCGCCTGTCGCTGTGAGAGATCATATTACTGTGTCGGCCGGCTTTCATTTGTCTGTTGGCAAAATATCTTCTATAACAATGAACAGACTTTAATGAAATTTGCAAACATTCATTAATAGATGTATATCTGCTATGGGCTTTCACCAATTACAGTTTGCTGGCCGATCACAGATTTCTAAAAAGTCTGACTTGCCGATTCTGATTTTGGCCGATACCGATATTGTTTTATATTTGACACTGTCAGGTGTTGTAAGGTCACAATGCACCTTCAGTTTTCCAATCTTGTTTTATTGACAAGCATACCCTTGAACAATATCCTGGAAACAATACAAATTTGTTTTAACTGGCCATGAGGTAGTGCTCTGAAATATAAATGAAATTCAGACAATTGTAGTTAAAAGTAAAAAATAAAAATCAGTGAAATCGGTTTCTCATGTTTAGGGGTCTGTAACCTGCGGCTCTGGAGCCGCATGCAGCTCTTTGGTTCCTCTGCGGCGACTCTTTCAAGCTTTGACCAAAACTGACATAAAACTGAATTTTATTGGTTGCTATAACAACTAAAAGGACTAGTTTGAGCATTTTTCCTGTAATTTCTTTTGCAAATATGTGAATACTAGAAACATTACAAGGAGTAAAACATACTTTCACGTTACACTTTATTTCTTCAAAGTAGGATACGGTACTTAATTTTTCTAAAATAAAAAAAAAAAATCACATAGGCCTGCATAACAAAGTCCATGCTCAATAATCCAGGTATACAATCCAACATTTTTCAGTCAGGTCATCTGGACAGTTTCTTTTTTTGTGCTGAAACGTTTTTGCCTTCGATCCAGAAGGCTTCAACAGTCAAGGAAACGAACAACAAAACTCATTCTTCCCCCAACCGCTTACTCCAAAGTGGAACAAACCAGTTTTGCTTGTGATAAGATGGTCTCTGATGGAGCCTTCTGGATCAAAGGCGAAATGTTTCAGCACAAAAAAAAAAGAAACTGTCCAGATGACCTGACTGAAAAATGTTGGATAGGCCTGCATAGTTTATATTTTACGATGGAATATTAGGGCAACGCTAAGAAAAAAAATTACAAGAAAAAAGCCATAGTATTACAAGAATAAAGTCGTAATGGTATGGTATGGTATAAAGTTTATTCATTTAAAAAAAGTACAAAACAATTCCATAACAATATAAAAAAAGATACAAAAGATTTAAAATGAAAGGCAGCAGAAAGAAGAAAAAATCTTATTATATCTGCCCCTTTTTTCAAACAATTATTTCATTCATAATAATAATACGTTAGTAGTACGTTCCTGGGTCGGTTTGCACCTGCTGTGGACAACCTTCAATGAGAGTCACTGTGTTTATGAAGTAATCCAGGTCACTGTTTGTGAAATATGCCTCCATCCACATTATGTTACGACTAAATCTGTCAATGCAGCCATTAATTACAATGTCATACGGTTTCAGTTTGAACCCATATGCCACAGCACGTTGGGCCCCTGCTATTCTACTCCCAACGTCAACATTCATCATTTTACTGCAGTAGTAAGACTGCTTTTTCATATGGGAGTTCTAGTAATATTATGAGTTTATTCTGGTAATATTACGAGTTTATATTTGTATCATTTCAACTTTATTCTTGTAATATTACGAGTTTATTCTCATATCATTTTGACAATATTCTCATAATATTACACATTTTATTCTTGTGATATTTCGACATTATTCTCGTATGACTTTATTCTCGTAATAGTACGACTTTATTCTCTTAAACTACGACTTTATTCTCATTCGTAACATACTTTTTTTCTTAGCGTGACCCTAGTACTCCGTCATAATAATTTTTGTTTTTAGAAATTGGGCAAAAACTATAGTATTTTTTTTAACTTCTTTGCAAGAATTTCGTCTTTTTATTTTGTCTTAAAATGTAAAAATATCAATACATGTTAAACTCATTAGATATTTTTAGTTTTATAAAATCACCCCTACTGGCCAGAACACCAACAAACTTAAAGTGGTCTGCGGGCTCCAGTTGAGAATCACAGTTGTGGCAGGTATTGCTGCGCCGGACACGTTTAATGTAGTGATCAAAGGGTAAAAAAAATGTCTCTTTAGATCGTAAAGGTTGCAGACCCATGCTCTTGTAAGTATCGGCCAATTTCCAATTTCCCACCCCTAATATCTGCGACTAATAAACCTTTGTAAACATCACAGTTTAAGATGGCCACCACAGCTGCTCAACCCAGTAAACACAAAAATCACAAACGCTGTCAGTTTTACAGATATTGAGCTAGGTTTGGTGTGGTAGTAGCTGAGAGTCATCCTCAACATATACAAACCGGATTCCAAAAAAGTTGGGCCACTAAACAAATTGTGAATAAAAACTGAATGCAATGATGTGGAGGTGCCAACATCTAATATGTTATTCAGAATAGAACACAAATCACAGATCAAAAGTTTAAACTGAGAGAATGTATCATTTTAAGGGAAAAATCCGTTGTTTCCAAATTTCATGGCATCAACAAATCCCAAAAAAGTTGGGACAAGTCCATTTTTACCACTGTGTGGCATCCCCCCTTCTTCTTACAACACTCAACAGACGTCTGGGGACAGAGGAGACCAGTTTCTCAAGTTTAGAAATAGGAATGCTCTCCCATTCATGTCTAATACAGGCCTCTAACTGTTCAATCGTCTTGGGCCTTCTTTGTCACACCTTCCTCTTTATGATGCGCCACATGTTCTTTATAGGTGAAAGATCTGGACTGCAGTCTGGACATTTCAGTACCTGGATCCTTCTCCTACGTAGCCATGATGTTGTGATTGCTGCAGAATGTGGTCTGGCATTATCGTGTTGAAAAATGCAGGGTCTTCCCTGAAAGAGATGACATCTAGATGGGAGCATATGTTGTTCTAGAACCTGAACATAGTTCTCTGCATTAATGGTGCCTTTCCAGACATGCAAGCTGCCCATGCCACAAGCGCTCATGCAACCCCATACCATCAGTGATGCAGGCTTCTGAACGGAGCGTTGATAACAACTTGGGCTATCCTTGTCCTCTCTGGTCCGGATGACATGGCGTCCCAGTGTTCCATAAAGAACTTCAAATCGTGACTCATCTGACCACAGAACAGTCTTCCATTTTGCCACACTCCATTTTAAATGACCCCTGGCCCAGTGCAAACGTCTGAGCTTGTGGAGCTTGCTTAGAAATGGCTTCCTCTTTGCACTGTAGAGTTTCAACTGGCAACGGCGGATGGCACGGTGGATTGTGTTCACTGACAATGCTTTCTGGAAGTATTCCTGAGCCCATTCTGTTATTTCCTTGACAGTGGCATTCCTGTTTGAGGTGCAGTGACGTTTAAGGGCCCGGAGATCACGAGCATCCAGTAGAGTTTTACGGCCTTGACCCTTACGCACAGCGATTGTTCCAGATTCTCTGAATCTTTTGATGGTGTTATGCACGGTTGATGATGATAACTTAAAAGTCTTTGCTATTTTACGCTGGGTAACACCATTCTGGTATTGCTGCACTATCTTTCTGCGCAACAATGGTGGAATTGGTGATCCTCTTACCATCTTGGCTTCTGAGAGACACTGACACTCTGAGAAGCTCTTTTTATACCCAATCATGTTGTCAATTGACCTAATTAGTGTTAATTGGTCTTCCAGCTGTTCGTTATATGCTCAATTTCCTTTTTCCAGCCACTTATTGCTACTTGTCCCAACTTTTTTGGGATTTGTTGACACTGTGAAATTTTGAATCAACATATTTTTCCTTTAAAATGTTACATTTACTCAGATTAAACTTTTGATCTGTCATCTATGTTATATTACGAATAAAATATTGACATTTGCCATCTCCACATCATTGCATTCAGTTTTTATTCACAATTTGTTTAGTGTCCCAACTTTTTTGGAATCCAATTTGTTGTTTTGTGCACTAAAAGATCATGCAAAATCTCTTCTTTTTTCACTTTGGCATTCAAGGTAGCGGACAATATTCATTCCTACGAGGAATGCTTGTTGTTTTTTATTTATTTATTTATTTTTTACACTTCCTCATTACCTAAAGCCAAAAGTGCCGCCTCTTTTTCTGCTTCAGCTGCTTAGTTTAAATGAATACTAATAAATTATACCAACTGTAATGTTTGTTTCTCGCAACTCTGTAAATTGTGCTTTTATTTCTTTATTGTTACCTTTTAGAGAATAAATAATTTCTCAGTTGAACCCACCTCACTCGATGATGATGTACAACTATTTCACCTCCGTTCATCCTTACGGTCTTCATTATGTTTTGAAACGCAGCGGGCCACAAGTATTTCACCAATAAACTTGCATTATTAACTATTAAATATATAACTATTATCTAAATGTGCTGTTCAGAGAGAAACTGAAATTATTGTGAAACTGTGCTGTTTGAGTTGAACTGAAGTAAAAAACATGATTTTTCCTCAAAGTGACTAAAACAGATCTTTTAAAAGTGTTTTGTCTTTTCACAGGTAGAAGAGAGTTTGTTCAGAGGCTAAAACTCGAAGCGACTCTGAACGTACACGATGGCTGCGTAAGTCCGCTGCATTTCTTAAGTTTCCCTTCATTTTATGAGTTTATTTGTTGTTGTTCTCGGCCTGTGTGTGAATCTGAGCCGGAGCAGGCCTCCGCTGGCCGCTGCCTCAGAGAAACCTGAAGCCGACACGTCGGTCACACATCTTGTCACGCTATCGGTATCAGTCCGTCCTAAACACGTCGACGAACACGACACGCCAGCAAGACTCAGGAGAGCAGGTCCAACGTCTGTCTGCTCGCTTTCATAAAACGATTTTTGATCAGAATCAGTTTATTATCGCCATGTCAATGAACGAGGTTCACAAACTAGGAATTTGCTTCGACATAAGGTGCGAATAGTAATAAAGTAAAATAAAGTAAAAATAAAGTAAAAATGAAGTAAAAATGAGAACATTACATAAGACCTGTGTACACCCACAAATAAAGTCAAATTGATTGTTCCTAAAGTGTAGATCAACAGAGTTCGTCTTCATCAACGACAATAATTGACAGAACCTGAGACTCCAATGAGTTGTGGAAATCACTTGTTATATGAAAATAAAACGTTGTGTTTACAGAATAAAAAAATATGTATTTCAACACATTTCTCTCTAAAATATAATAAACACATGAATAAATACGAATCATGGAAATCTTTCTGGTGAGACACAACGAGCCACGTCAGTCAGTTTGTTGCAGATCCCTAAATATATTAATTTCAACATTAAAACCTGATTTACCTTTGAGGAGTCTGATCACACTAGTTGTGATGAATATTGTTTGAAGGCCACATGACAAATTCCTTTTGTTAGGCTCTTATTTAAAATAAAACTAACTATCTCAGCTGGACCACTTGATTGAATACATTTATAAGACCAAAGGACTGGACCACGCTATGACAGATAATGTTAGGTTGAACGATCACAGAAAAATAAACACATAAATAAATAAAAATCCTGAAGGAGGTATTATACAGGTGACAAATAAACAGATCTCTGATGGATAAACTAAACATATTTAGAACATTATTGAACTCAGCTGTTCTTCAGTTTCTATAACTGTGTGAATGTTTATGAAGCATTCACTCTGTGATCCATTTTTCTTCTGTACGTTTTTCTGCATCTTTCTTGTTCCACGGTTTTTGTGATATTTCAACAATTCACGCATCAAAACATTCAGCTTGTTCAGGAGAAGGGTGCTATGACTTTTGGTGTTGGTGCAACTTTAGCTGTTTGAAATATTTAGCCTTTTCTGCTGCTTTTTTTCTCATAGAAAATGAATTGAGCTCATTTTACCTCCTTCAAATCTTTAGATCTGTTTACAACCTTTTACTGCTTCTTTCACATTTTGTTCTGCTTCAGCTGCTTTTAGCTTCTTTGTGCAAAAAAAAGAAGCTACTTTCAGCTACTTTCTGCTTTTTTCTACTCCTTTTAGATTATTTCTGCTAACACCATGTTTTTTGTGCTTCTTCTAGCTTCTTTCTGCTAATTTCAGCTTGTTCTGCTCCTTTCAACTCATTTTTGCAAGTTTCAGCATTTTCTGATATTTCAGCTACTATCAGTATTTAGCTGTTTTTATGAAAATTTTAACTTTTTCAGTTAATTTAAGATTTTTTTGCACCCATTTAAAAATTTTTCGGCCTCAATCAGCAAAAATGTGCTCTCTCTACTTCCTTCTGGTAATTCAGCTTTTTTCTGCTGTTTTAGTTACTTGTCAGCTGTTTTTAGCAAATTTCAGCTTTTTTTTTTTTTTTTTTTTAGATAATTTCCTTTTTTTTTTGTGCTCTTTTCTGCTTCTTTCAGCCTAATTGGACAAACGTGTTCTTTCTGCTTTTTTCTGCTAATTTAAGCTTGTTCTACCTTTTCAGCTAGCTTTTTAGCATTGTTAGCCAATTTCAGCTGTTTGCAGATAAATTCAAGTTTTTCATATAACTTTCTGCTACTTTTAATCTAATTAACTTCTTTATGCTAATTTCTGCTTATGATGCTCCTTTCAGCTGTTTCTGCTCTTTCAGCTACTGTTTAGCTTGTTTGATGCTAATTTTAGCCTTTTTAGCTAATTCCACATGTTCTGAGCTCATTCCCGTTCTTTCCAATTCCATCAGATAGTTTAAGCTTCTTTTTGCTTTTCCAGATACTTTTCAACTTTTTTTTTCTAATTTCAGCCTTTCTTTTGCAGCTAAATTCCTAATTTTTGTGCTAATTTCTCCATATTTAAACCTAAATCAGCAAATCTGTTCTTTCTGCTCTCCTGCTAATTTAAGCTTGTTCTTCCATTTTAGCTGTTTTTCAGCAAGTTCTCATTCACAATACATTTTTTTGCAGGAAATGCAATTTCTCTAGTTAATTTTTTGTTTTTAACTGAACCTTTGGTTTAGATGAGCTTTAGAGGATAGATGGATGAAGCTCAGAAATATGAAGCTGTTTAAATAGTTTTTTTTTTGTACTGTTGGGTTAAGAAATTAAAAAAAAGAAAGAAAATATATTTTAAACGCCCGTTGAAGGTGGGATGTTTTATAGTAAAGTGTCTGTCGGTCGGTCCGTCGTACAAATGTAAGCTTTCTCTTGCCCTTAACTTCTGATCCGCTCACGACAGGTTAACAGAACTTCATACATACATCATCATCACTAACCGGAGTGTCGCGTACACTCTTCATCACCAAGGTTAAGGTCATAACTCAAGGTCAGATGATATACAAGGTCTTTGCTTGTCTTGGCCATTGCTATAGATTTCTGTAAAACAGTTTGTCGACGGGTGTATTATGTGTTATATCAGTACCCTTGTTGAGTTTTAAAGTGAAATGTACATCTTGAGAAAAATACTAATTGTTTTTATTTTTTATTTACTGTAATTATGTGGGGGTGAGGACAATCAATTCATTTCAGTTTATTTATATAGTGCCAAGTCACAACAGAAGTCATCTCAGGGCACTGAACAGAAACACTTGTATATAAAAAATAAAATGTTAATAACATTATCTGAGGAGCGTTGAGTCTCGGCTTCGTTGCAGATTCTCATCCTGAGCAAGCAACTGAACAATAAAACAAATGTTAGAATGTAGAAAAGGAACAACTTTGATTTAATGGTAAATAATTTTCAAGGATTGGTAACTATCAATTGTCCCTGAGTGAGTGGTTGTTTGTCTCTGTGTGTCCCTGTGATGGACTGGAGACATGTCCAGAGTGTCCCTTGCCTCTCACAGTGACTGCTGAATATGGGCACCAGTGACCCCCGCGACCTGAAAAGGAAGAAGAGTGTAAGGATAATGGATGGATGGATGGATAAAAACCTGTTTGTGCAGCTCCTAAGTATTAAACCAATCACATATTTTTGAGTTTCACTCTCAACCTTCAGAGAGGATTTTCATTCTAACAGTAAAATGGGGTAAATATAAACAGGGAAGCTGTTTGATGTGATTTAAAGGAAATTCCCAGAGCACTGCACCACAGTCTGCAGGATATCGTTGTTTAAATGTCATCATAATGAATAAATGAACATGAGCCCTCAGCTCATGTATCAATCTTTTATTGCATCGGAGGACGACGGCTTCACGTGCATCGCAGCTCGTCCACTCTGCTGCGCTGATCAGATTAAATATGGCTCACATGCGACTTCACTTTGAGTCTCGTTCTGACTGAAGTGTTTGTGACGATGAAACGCTGAACAAAGCTGCAGGTTTGAATGAAATATTGATCTGCAGAATGAAGGCAAGCAGCTGTTGACTATCACCTGACAGTAATCCCTGTTAAATTATGGTGGATACGATTATATTTAGTTTTTTTTTACTGGACAAACAAAATATGAATTAACAACCAAATTTGACTTATATATATGTACCATTGGGGAAAAAATAAATCAGTTTATACCTTTTTAAAATGAGTTGTTCTACTTGAAGCAAAACTAGACCTCAGTCATGCTAAATCTTTTCTTTGTAAATATAAACGTGTTGAAGAAAATAAGAAAAGTTAGCAAAATAAAACAATTGGCCCGATGTGATGAAATATGTGACTTGCTCTAGCTAAATGTCAAATTTAGGAATCTTTCAAAATTAAAGTAGTTTTTTATATTTTTCTTTGCAGAAGCTTTAAAATTATATGTATTTTGTTGTATTTTTTGGGGGATTTATCACCAGGGCACAAGCTAGTTTTATTTACTGGAGTACAGGGAGCTCATCTTAGATGTGACCAAGCCTTCAGGTGTTTCCTCAGCAGATCTTCAGCTTCTCCACACACCTGTTAATGGAGCGTTCATTCACATCAGGTGTGTCCAAGCAGAGAAACATGCTCTTCTTCTGATATCAGTGGGAATCTCAGCCCTGTATTGAAAAAGAGGAATCCTCAGGCTTCACAATGATGCCACACGTTATACGAAGGGATTTCCCAGTGCTTCAGAAGTCGGCAGATACAAATTGTCATTTCAAGTGAAATTATGTCCCCCCCCCCCCCCCCCATTATACTTGTTAAAAAACTTATTTTGGTAGATTAGGAAGATTATGTTCTATTATAGTTACCAGGGTGTTGTCTTTGTGGGCTTGTTTTTACGTAAATCTCAATTATGGCTAAATTTGTTTAGATTTGTATTTGTTTTGCACCACAGCCTGCGCTCATTCCAACTCATTTTGCTAACACAGGTCACAAATATTATTCTGTAGAAACTTTTCTTCTTCTGCTTCAAAGAGTAGAAAGATTGGGAAAGTGTTTTGTCAAGCAGATGAATATTAGAAGTATCTGAGAACGTTATTCTTATTGCAAAAAGAGAACAAAAGTTCCTCGCTGAAGGCGTTAGTGATGTTCATCCTTTTGTAACTCTTGGTCTTCTAACTAGCACAGCTCAGTTTGTGTTTGTTCTCTCAGGTCAACACGATATCCTGGAATGAGACGGGTGAATATATCTTGTCGGGATCAGACGACACATTTCTGGTCATCACAAACCCGTATAACAAAAAGGTGAGTTTTAATAACTGGTAGCTGCTTCTTTAAGATGTGGACTTCAAAATGAGAACGCTGCACCCGTCTACAGTTTTTGTCCACCGTTACGGAGCGAAGAGGAGGAATTAGAAATACCCTTCCAACGTTTGGTTGTCTGTCCTTGTTGCCATTGTATTAACTAGAAAAATAAGCACAAAAAAAAAATTGTATGACTTTTTATAACTGTTTATTGTTGTCGCTGTTGTCCGTTGTTGTCATCAGTCTTTGTTGAAATCAGGTCTCTCTTGTAAATGAGTCCTCGAGGCTCAATGGGATTAACCTGTCTAAATAAAGGTTGAATGAATGAATGAAGCGAGGTACAGTAGTTCCTCGATTATCGCGCAAGTTCCACACATCACCGCGATAGAACCCTTCCCTCACTATTGCGATGTCTTAAACTCTTGAACCTACATAATTTTAACAACATACGTATATGTACTGCACTGTACTGCAAACTTTTACTCACCAGCTCAGCAGACCAGCAGCTTGGTTCTCCTTCAGCAGACCTACCCTGCAGCGATGAAGCCCACCGCCCCGTCCAGGTTGATGTGCACGTGAATAATTAAGCTTCAGGAAGATTCAGGATTTTTTTTTCGACTTTCCCGCCAGTTCTATGAGTTTAATAGATCGATTGTTACTTCTGACTTTGTGTTGCAAAACTTTCCCCTCCATTTCGTCAGAAAGCAGCGGCCAGAAGCACTGTTGGCTTCTGGGTAGGGTAGTTCTTTTTTTCAGTGTAGTCTTATTGAAAGAGAACCACGATGTCGTGAGGGATTACTGTACCGACTTTCATTTTGGTGCGTGGCTGCATCTAGGGGTAGCAAAAGTTGCTTTTGAAAACGGGCTTGAAAACAGGTTTTCAGGCTAAAACGCAAAAGTTCCAACTTTAGTCATAATTTTGTTTTAGAGAAGCAAATACCTGTATATTAGCCTTATTTTAATTTTTTGTTCTTACTTTGTGTGTGTTTCATGTATTATTTAAAGTAAAGGACATAGTAAAATATTTATTTCCTTACATTAGGGATGGCTAGTAAGGGTTGAATGACTGCATATTTTTTTAAGTCGACTTCAACATGATAAAAGTCGACTAGTCGATGTGACGTCATAGCAACTCAAGACACTTTTTTTCACCAAAAAAAGTCATTTATTATTTACAAAACACAAACAAACAAACATTGGGAGCATATATTATGCTCCTACCATTTATCATACTGCACATAAGTCACAGGAAAATCTAAATTATTATGAAGCTGCAAAAGTTAGTTTTATTTTATTTAATCCACTAAATAAAATAAACCATCACGGCGGTGCTGGATTCTCCACTGGTTGTGCATCCCCCTGTTTTTATTTTAATTTTATTTAGTGGATTAAATAAAATAAAAATAATAGCAGCGGGGCGGGCGGTTGAACTGTAAGAGTCATCTTTAGTGAAATACTTCCACACTGTTGGTGAATTTCTACCTGTTTGACAAGACTTTACCTGCTCCTCATCGTCCATCTGCTTGGAAGAATCTGTTTTGTAGCCAGCGGCTCGGCGCTGACCACGTGACACAATCACTGACTGCAACTAGTCGACGTGAAATAAAAAGAACTCGCGAGACGTCCTAGAATCGACTTGATGACTAGTCGATTCAACCCCTAATGGGTAGTGATTTTGGAGTATTTAAATTTAATTAAAGTGGGTGAATTTGAAGACTTGCTGCAACTATCATGACAATTTTATTTTTTCTTATTTATTTTGCTCCAGCACCTGGTAGTGACACAGCTGGTTGTTTACTAACTGTTCTTTGAGACAACACTTAATGCTCACCACACTACTGGACCAAAGATAAAAATAAATCGGTGCAAGAGCACCCCCAAATTTTCCCGCCATTGTATTTTATTTTGAAAGGATTATAAAGGGGAAACTATAGTCACAGCTGGGATCAGGGTGTTAGACTTTACTGACAAATTCCAAGTGTTTTTTCTTGAAATGCCCCTAATTAATTTTAACAAATAAGTCTTTCGTCAACAAAAAGTTGCTCAGCTGAGGCAAAGCGTGTAAACAAGTTGAACCAGCCAGGCTGGCTTCTTGAGATCTTTATGAAACTGGCTGAGCGACGGCTTTAAACAACAGAATTTAGCAGCTTAGCTTTTTTCTTTTCATAACAGAAGCTTTAGCGTGTCGCGTGTTTTTGTTCTCTGCAGGTCAAGAAGTCCATCCGTTCAGGTCATCGAGCAAACATCTTCAGCGCAAAGTTCATGCCTCACACCAACAATCAGGAAATTATCTCGTGCTCCGGAGACGGCATCATCTTCTACACACACACTGAGAAGAGTCCAGAGTTTAACAGACAGTGTCAGTTCAGCTGCCATTACGGAACAGCTTATGAGGTGCTGTGCTGCTTCTGGAGCAATAAATATTTGTTTGTTTGTTTTTCACTTACCTCTCCGTTATCTTTTGTCAGATTATGACCGTACCGAACGACCCCTACACATTCCTGTCGTGTGGGGAGGACGGTACGGTGCGATGGTTCGACCTGCGCACCAAAACCAGCTGCACCAAAGAAGACTGTAAAGATGTACGACCACAGCTGGAATGTTTATCTCTATATAGTCAAAGAGCATCAATTAGTGGTTTACGGGGAACAGTCAGTTTGTTGTAGATAAACGTCAAACTTTCTAATATGAGCTCTGCTTCCTGTTCAAACCGCTCTGTACGCGTCAGTCCAAGCTGCTTTGGATTTTCAGCTTCTCGTATTTCCATTTTCAGATCAGAACTTGTGGCTCTGAAGTTGCTGATCACTTTACCAGACTGTCACTGCCTCTTTATAACCCTGAAACTGTTAGTGATCATCCTTCTGTAAGAACCGACAGCACCAGAACACATTCGCTGTTGATGTGTAGATTATCTCCACTGGAGGGATGAATCCATACTTTTACATTATTTTAGGTTTTGCTTCGTTTTCTGCTTTTAGTGAGATTACCACCCTGTAAGTGACTCCAAAACACTTCAAAAACATTAGTTTTTAGATTTTGTGTAGTTCTTTTTGGTGCTTTGCAGACTTTCTTAATTTAATCTAGAAAAAAAAAACCATACTGTATCGTGAAGAAATCTTGAGTCATCCCCAATTCTTTTTTTTAAACATTTTGCTTCCAATAGGCAGATTTTCACCTATTCTTTTAAGTGGTCTTTAATAATAGGACTCTGATCTTTTTAAAAGTATTTTAAAAGTATTGTTTAAACTTTGGCTGTTTTCCCACTCATTTTTATTCCAGCACATTTTTCTGTTTGACTCAACTCTGATCTATAGGTCATTAAAGAAAATGATAATAAAACTCCCAAATTCAAAGAACAAACCAGTGAAGAGTCGACACATACCCAACAAGTAAACCATTTTAAACTGGATCTTTAAGCACTGTGATACCAGCAGCCTAACCCAAAGACTCAATTTGTTCCCAATTTGCTTTATCTATGGAAAATCCCAAATCTGTAAAAGTGAAAAATACACATTTTTGGTGTTCTCACCCTCACCTGGATGTGTTTCTGTAATCTCAGGACATCCTGATAAACTGCAGAAGAGCAGCGACCTCCATCTCTATTTCTCCTCTGGTGCCGTACTACCTGGCTGTGGGCTGCTCCGACAGCTCGGTGCGGATCTTCGACAGACGCATGCTGGGCACCAGAGCCACAGGTGAACCATGTCCTCCTCCTCCCTGAGGGTTCACGTTGGTTTCTAGATTCAGACATTAACTATAGGAGTAGCTATCAGCAAGTCTGAGGCTTTCTGTCCTTCTGTGGGACCAGTCAGGAGATGCTTTCTTGAATATTTTGACTTTTATCTTGTGCGTCTTAGCTTCTCGTCACACCTACAGAGCAAAGCGGATGTTTTGCTTAACGTGTAAGCAAAAATAAAATACAGTAGTCCCTCACTACTTCGCTGTTCGTTTTTTGCTGACTCACTCTATCGCGGTTTTTCAAAATAAGATCGGACATGACACCCGATTGATTGACTGACTGGATGAGCCGCACGATTGGCATGGAATTTCATTTAAAATAAATTATTTTAAATTATTTAGCACCTGTGTGCAGCCCACAGCTGCGGGAGAAGCTTCCTCCTGCAGCTGATCAGCTGATCTCTGCAGCGGAGAAGTGGGCGTGGCCAAGAGCGCTGGCAGAGCAGAAATCATGACATTCTGTGCTCTGTTAGTGTTTAGAAACATTGTTTAGAATATTGCAAGAGTGTGGGAAGGGTTTAAACGCTTTTATAGAAATCTATATACATACTAAAATAAATTACTACTTACTACTTGTACTACGATTCCTACTTTGCGGTTTTTTACTTATCGTGGGGCTTCAGGATATGGATCCGCCACGATAAACAAGGGACTACTGTAAAACAAAAATAACTAATATTTAATTTACATTTGATTTATTTTTTTTCAAGAATAGCCAAAAACGTCCACAAGTACATTTCAGAGTTCAGTTTAAACAATATTTAGCTAAATGTCGTTTTATTTTTCGCCCTCAGGTAATTACACGGGCCGGGGGACGACGGGCATGTGCGTCCGGTTCGTTCCTGCTCACCTGTCCAACAAGTCGTGCAGGGTGACGTCTCTGTGCTACAGCGAGGACGGTCAGGAGGTTCTGGTCAGCTACTCCTCCGATTACATCTACCTGTTTGATCCCAAAGACGATCAGGCCCGAGAGCTGAAGGGCCCGTCAGAGGAGAGGCGGGAGGAGGTGAGCTTCCATGAAGGTCTTCTAACTAAAGCCAGGAACATAAAAAGAAAGAGGCAGATTAAAAACAAGTTTTCAACACCTGCTCGGCTCGTTGTGGACATCCTGCAGCTGAGGATTCACCTTAGAGTTGTCTGAACTTAAAGATTTGTTTCAGAATCAAGGCACGTCGTCTTTTTGTTTCCAAGTTAAAGGGAAGTGCTGATTCTTATATTGTCCATACAGTCAAGACATCTTTAAACTTCAAAAGTTATGAATGATAAAAAACATTTGTCTATTTTTGTTTTCTGTATTTTGACTAATTAAATTCAAGTTCAAGTCAATTTAGTGTCATTTCATCACATGTGGTACATGAGGTGGAACAAAATTATGTACTCAGGGTCCCAGTTACACCCAAAATAGTAAAATATAAAGTATAAAAGAAACTGTATACAAGGATCTAAGATATAAACTGCTAAACAAACGCCAAACAATACGCTAAGATCTAAGATATACGGCAAACACTAATAATATAAAACAATTCGATGTAACAATATTAGCCTATCAGACTAAATGTCTGACTTTACATCTTTAGAAAAAAATAAAAAGACAATTGGAAAAAAAACAATTTAAAAATGTTAAAAAAGCAACCAGTCGTATTAGAGCTTTAACATTTAACATTTTGTTTAAACAATTAAGTGCTTGCGTTTTTATACACGATGTGTTTTGCCCTCCAACTTTCACCGCTAAAGTTTCCAGCAAAGTTCTGATCGGTCAGCACTCAGAGTACGAGTTGTGGATGATGCTCAGCTACTACCACACCACATTTTAGTTCAGCATTTATAAAACTAAATGAGCTATAGACATTTTTCTGTTTGCTAAGGTAGATTAGCTGTGACAGTCATCTTCAGCTGCATTGATTCTAAAATGTAGGTCTTTGTAGTCGGGGATATTGTCATTATTTTCTGAGAGTTTCATTACCCCCCCCCCGCCCCCCCCCCAGTATTTAATGAGATATTTTGCTAAAAGCCAGACGTATAAAGAAACACACACTTTATCGCTCACCTGTCATGGATGCAGCATTCATTATCTAAAACATTTGTTACTCCTCTGAGCTCATTGTAATCTAGACTACCAGTATTTATTCTGTAGAGGATTGTCAGACTGTCAGCAGGTGTGTGGAGTTTAATTCTTCATGCACACCAGACTTTTTGTTTTTCAGAGGCTTGTTGTTCCATGAGAGCGGTTCTAACCAGAGCAGCATTTGTTTTTGTCACTCTGAGCTCTGCAGAAATCAGAGCTAAATCTGTGCTGGCCGATGCAGCGGAGAAAATGACCCCCGACTAAAGGATGGAGTAAAAACTTTAGTTGGAAGCTCTTGATGTTTTTGACCTCTACGTTTTTTTTATTTTCAGTGTGGACGGATTATTTTTATCAGGAATTCTGCTAAATGAAAAGTCGGGGTTTGTTTTCTGAATGTGCTTCATCATGGAGCCTGTTTCAGCTGTGTCGGGATACACTCACACATTCCTTTCTAAATACAGCGGCTGATGCCGGCGGTGTTCCTCGTTCCACTTAAATAAGTCGTGCTGAGAGTGGGGGTGGGGGGGGGGCAGGAACGTAAACTCTTATCTGTCTTCCTTCTTCACCTCTGACCTTGTTTGTTCTTTGTCTTTTTCTTATTTACTTCGCTGCATCTTCTTCTCTTCACCACCTGTTCAGACCCGATGACATTTCCTCTGTGAAGCCCCTCCACCTTCTAATTCTGGCTCCCAGCCTGTTGCACTGCAAAGTGACTTAAAAGAGGAGGCAACCTCAGAGGGAGGGGGGACTTTAGAGAAGGCGCCGATAGAGACCATCAGTGTTTTGCTTTGGCAGCGAAGTTATTTTTGACCATGCTCTGACTGACGAGCTGTTAATCTGTGTTTGTGTGTGTTTCCACAGCTGAGGCAGCCTCCGGTCAAGCGCCTCCGCCTTCGGGGGGACTGGTCTGACACCGGACCTCGAGCTCGTCCTGAGAGTGAGAGGGAACGAGACGGTGAGATCTCAGCTTGTCCTGCTGCTCGATTACAGCAGAACTCACATTTCAGATGTGACCTGAGGAATCATTTCAACCAGCAAAGCTGCTCAAATATTTACACTTTTTATTTTATCGCTTGTAATCGTAGAAGCCTTTCAAAACAGAATCTGACTTGATATTATCGAGCTGAGCCTACCTACAGCGCTTCACATGGAATAAACCTGAGTTTAATGACTTGTTTACATTTTAAGTCTGGGTCACCCAATACGGTGGTTGATCACAAACGTATTATGGGTAGAACGCATGGCATTAAAATAAAACGTCAGCCGATCATCCATCTATGAAATGTGTAACTTGATTGACAGACAGGGCAGCCAGTCTGAGGCCCCATTTACACAACGTGAAACATTCAAGCGTTCATTTACAGACAACAGCCCTCATTCTCTCTGAAACTGAAGGTTTCTGAATCCAGGTGTCCGAGTGGAGATTTTCGGGGGAATCCCTCCACGGAGGTGTGAAATGCTCCAAGTGTGAAGTCACACATGTGCACTACAGGCGGCTGCAGTCCAAAGTTTATCTGCACTAACAACAGTTATAATAAATGGCAGAGAGCAGAGCGTTTTTGCGCTGCTCACCCTTTTTCAGCATGTAGGAGCAAAACTAATAAAATCCAGGGTCCAAAGAGATGTTGGTGTATTCACCAGTTTGGACGTAACTGCATGCACAATGAATGCAGCTGAACCCGGCATCAGGGTTGCCAGATAAATTTAAAATGTCTTCTTTACCACCTCCTTTTCTATGCACATGTTCAACAAACACACACCTCATCTTAGAATATATTTACTTGACACATACAACAATTTAGGTCAAAATACTATCATTTTAAAGGGACAGTACTACAGTTCATAATTTCTTATCTGGCAACCCAAATGACATGGAAACTACAGCATTTTTGTGTAAATCCACTCATTTTTTGTTCATTACCCCCAATAAACATTGAAAAACCATAAACGTTTCCAGAGGTTGTTCTTGTGTAAACGGGGCCTTATAGCAGGTAGATCACTTTGACTTGGTCATTTTAAAAAGGAGCTGCAGGCTGAGAAAGTGTGGGCACCCCTGGTTGTTGTAATTAAAACTTGTTCTCAAACAGCTGTTCTTCGACACATTTAGGTTTTAGAGGAACTTGTTCCACCTACGCTTCATTCATTATTTGATGCTGATGCTGCAACAATAACGAGGGTAAACCACCCAGTGAGGTGGGCCAAAAAAGGGGCTCTATTGGAGTAGATATAACTAAAAATTATATTAAAAAATGCATTTTTTTTACACAATTCCTTAAAAAAATGGAACCAGTTTCATAAGTCATAACTATTTATTTTACAAGATATCTTTAGAAATTGATTGTCATGTACATTTAAAAACAAACTCAATAACCATGACTACTTTTGTCATTTGCTCACAGATAATGAGAGCTTTGTTTTAGTCTGTTTCAGACTGAGAAAACTGCACCTCAGATACTAATTTCTCTTTTAGTTGGTTGAAGCTTCCTCCATAACACCAACACTCTGAGTCCACCATTGTTCCACTCCCCCATGTTTGTTCAGTAAAGGCTAACGTTTAGGACTGTCAGTAAAATGAGCAGGTTGCACCAATGTTTCAGTTCTTGGTGATGGTGATCAGTATTCTGTTGCTGATGCTACATTCAGCAAAAAATGGGAACTTTCCGACTTTGAGCTGTGAAAAAAAAACCTCCTGAAAGTCAGTGAATGCAGCTTGATTTGAAGTTAAAGGTGAGGAGATAAAGAGGAAAGTGCTGAATTTCTTTTTCTGTTCAACTTATCTTTAAATTTAGGGGATATAAACAAAATATTTACTTTTGGACACTTATTTATGCTTTCAAATAAAAATTAATTGACTTTCTTTTAATAAAAAAAATGGGGGAAATGTGTTAAAATGTAATTTCTTCCTGGAAACCAGTCAGCTGTGCTGAAACAGGTCAGAAAGTTTAATTTGCAAAACATTTCTTACCTAATAAATCAAGTAGACCTGACTGAGAAGATGTTTAATTATTTTGGAGTTTTTTAAATCGGACATTAAAACAGGATGACGTCTGTTTGATCCCATGATTGTCCAAACATGTTTCTTATTAGTTTTAAATGATTGCCTGGGCCTATCAATATTCATCTCCTCAAATATTAACTTGAGAAAATCTTATGATATGTTCTTGCTTATTCTGTTTCAGGGGAACAGAGTCCGAACGTGTCCCTGATGCAGAGGATGTCGGACATGTTGTCCCGGTGGTTTGAGGAGGCCAGTGAAGCTCAGAGCAGCAGAGGAACCCGACCTCAGGTTCGACCCAGAGGTGAGATGTTTAAAAGTCCATAAATGTTGTTTAGTTCTGCTCGTTTTATTAAATTTAATTGTTTTTGTTTTTTTTCCAGGAACAGCCATCCGTCCAGAGGGGGCTGCACCAACAGGAGACTCCAGCCAGGAGTCCCGCACCCCTGAGAGGCCTGTGGGGGCAAACTGTCCGGAGGTTGCTGCCAGTCCTGCTGCCGCCCCCGTCTCTAAATCCACCTCCTCGTCCTCCTCAGGGTCATCATCATCAGCGGTCACAGCACCTCCTACTTCCAGCTCCTCCTTGGTTGAAACCTCTGCTCCGTCCTCCTCCTCTCCGCTTACCTCCTCACCTGACTCAGAGCAGCAAGGTCGGGTTGAGACGGCCGGGGCGCCCACAGCTCCGCCCACAGCCCCGCCCACCTCTGAGCCTGCACTCTCAGGTGAAAGCTCACACTTTGAGTTTGAAGAGTTCTTGTTAATAAAAACAGACAAATCCACATTTTCTCTTCAGAAAGTGGATGTTTTTAGGGTAACTCTGTCTCTTTATGTTTGAGTGCGTGCGTGCGTGTTGGAGCCACTCCACTCAAGCAGCAGCTCCACTTTTCTCCTCCTTCAGCATCTCCATCTCTGCTCCTCCCATCCTCATGGCTCACCCACTCTCCCTGTCTCCTCTGCCTCTCTGTCAGAGTACGGTCCTCATCGGCTGCCCATAAGTTTAGTGTGTAGGCGTTTGCAGAGGCTGCTGCGGCTGGCCGACCCCCCCGGACAGGGTCAGCGAGCGGCGCCTTCCACATCCTCTTCTTCTTCTGCAGCCGCTGAGAGACAGCAAAGAAGGGCTAACTCTGCTGCTGCTCCTGCTGCTGCCCTGAAACAAACAGGTTACCCCCCCCCCCCCCCCCAAGCCCCCCTTACTTCCTGTCACGCTCAGAGCCACTTTTGCCTTGCTTTTTGTAACAAAGGCTGTAAGCTCAACCTGCAGATGGACCTCATCACTAACCTGATGTGATGTTTCCTTTTTTCTCTAATGCATCTTGTACTTATAAACGCCTCCACTGTTTGCCCAGCCTCTCA